GCAATTTATAAAACCTATCTTTGAATGTATGATGTAATTTTTTCAACATGAATCCCTTCAAGACAACATAGTTTTTGTTAATATTCATGATAGAGAAATGTACTATATTTTGTACTATTTCAGTGAGTTAATATAGTATAAAAAAGAGAATTAATAGATATTTTTCAAACTTTTCTTAGTTTTGTGTATACCAGGGGTAACATTCCAGTATTAATGCCCGGTTTAAATTATTACTCAAAATTTTTATATTGTATTGTTCATAAAGACTGATGTTAATAAATAAAATACATATGTAAATTTTGATGTTTGGTTGTCTTCTTCACGAAAAGTGTAATAAAACTTCAAATTCAATAAAAAAATATTCGTAAAAATCATGTTTGTTATTTCTTCTGGACTTTCATAAAATTAAATTTTTGTAATTGGCGCGATTGTTCAATGTTTCATCTTGGTTTACTGTGATATCTCTAGATGTCAGCCATGTTTGTTTTGTCTAATTTGACAGTTGCAATGTACTGTACGTCATGTACACGTAAACCTTAAAATGCTATCAGATAAAATCTGTTTTAAAATTAAAATTGATGATTGATTTATCTACATGCATACATAGGCAATGTGGCTTTTAAAGATATTATTATAACTAACAAATGGCGGCTTAATACGTTTTTCCATAAACACTAATAATTTCAATCAACTAATTAGTGCCTGAAAATTTCATGGACTTGTTTTGAGTCAAATCTCATATTTTACAGTCAAAATGATCACAATAGAATGCTATTTGTGCTGTCTAGCAGTGATAGCTTTACTGCTAATAATTTCAGTAATTTCTATCATATCAATACTAGGAGCACTTAAACTGTATATATGGTTTAAGAAAATGAAAAGAAAGGATTCTGATAAGAAAATTATTGGAATATTTCATCCCTATTGCAGTGCAGGAGGAGGCGGCGAACGTGTTTTATGGTGTGCTGTTAAAACATTATTGTCCAAGTATGCTTTCATCACATTGAATTATTGCCTTATAATTATTTCTTGTAATGCTGTTGCAAAATTTCAGATTTGATCATATAAAAATACATATCTACACAGGAGATCAATGCAGTTCAACAGAAATATTACAAAAAGTTAAAATATGCTTTGATATCTCATTTGATGAATCTCATATTAATTTTATATATTTGAAGACTAGAGGCCTAGTAGAGCACAAAAATTATCCTTATTTCACATTGATATTGCAAAGTATAGGATCAATGTTTCTTGGCTTAGAAGCTCTTCTTAAATTACAACCAGGTTTAATTTGATATATTATCACAACATATATTGATTGTTTTTTTATCTAACTTCTAATGGCGCTTTATTTATTTCAGACATATTCCTTGATACCATGGGTTATGCGTTTACTCTGCCTGTTTTTAAATATATTGGAAGTTGTAAAACAGCTTCTTATGTACATTACCCCGTTATTTCCACAGATATGTTAAAAAGAGTTAAGAGTCGACTTGTAACTCAAAATAATCAAGAGATAGTGGCAAAAAATCCTATGTTGTCATTTATTAAGATTCTGTACTACAGATGGTTTGCTTGGGTATATTGCGTTCATTCTATCATCTTTATTCATTTGTTGTATTAAAAAAATATTATTTTTTTATTTAGCTTTATAAATGGATGGGCAGATGTTCTGATACCATAATGGTAAATTCAACTTGGACTGAAGATCATATAAACTCTATATGGAATGTGTCATTTAAAACGCACAGAGTTTATCCTCCATGTAATGTTAAGCATTTAAAAGAACTAAAGTTATCTCCAAGTGTTGATGAAATAGTTATTTTATCAATCGGACAATTTCGTCCTGAAAAAGATCATCCTCTACAGCTGCAGTGCTTGTATGAACTGCGTACCTTGTTACAAAATAATGAATCTTTGTGGGAAAAGGTTTGCAATGATTTAAAAAAAAAAAAAAAAACTGAAAAAGTTGTGATCAATCTTATAATTTTTTAGGTAAAATTGAAAATTATAGGTTCTTGTCGAAATGATGTTGACAAAGAGTATGTCCAAAATATGATTGACTTAAGCTGCCATTTGGCATTAGAAAATTCAGTAGAATTTTTAGTTAATGTTTCTCATGAGGAACTCTTGGAAAGTTATAAAACTGCTACTATAGGATTACATTGCATGTGGAATGAACATTTTGGAATCGGTGAGACATTTTTTACTATTCGTTGTGATGGCAGAATTTATAAGGAAAATTATTATATAGGAATTGTGGAAAGTATGGCTGCGGGTCTTATAATGATTGCAAATAAGTCAGGTGGGCCTTTAACAGATATAATTGAGACGTCTGTGGGAAGTCAAACCGGATTTTTAGCCAGCAGTGCAATTGAGTATGCTCAGTGTATAAGATATATTTTATCTTTAAGTGACGATGAAAAAGAGCTGATACGATCAGCAGCAAGGTATGTTTGATATTATTGCACAAGATATCAATAATTTATAAGAAACATGTTTTATTTCGCAGATCATCTGTAGATAGATTTTCTGAAGCAGAGTTTGAAAAAGGCTTTCTTCGAGCCATGCTTCCAATTCTAAGTGACTAATATTATATCCATATTTATTATTTAGAGTCAATAAACAAGATAGTATAAAAATATTTTATTCTTGAATATACAAATTTAATATTGAACTAATAATATAAACTGCCTACTCTATCTCTAGGAATTAATCGTAACTCTGCACCATGTTTTAAAAATACATTTCCTGTAAAGCAATTCCATATAATTTTTTTTCAATAGATAGTTTATATTTACATATGCAATCTTACCCGCAGTTTGCGAAGGATTTATACCAATCCCATCATCCGTAATTATAGCAGATGTTGTAGGTTCTACTTTGAATTCTTCTGCTGCAAATTTTAATACTGCTGTGAATGGAGTGGCATCAGGAACACTTAAACTAAAAATATTAAAACAAATTTTTGCTTAAATGATATTAAAATTTTCAAATATCGTTTTTATTTGTCCATAAGTTAAATTTTCACTTACACTTTGAATGGAAGTTTGGGATCTGAAGTAAGAGTGATTTTAAAAGTAACTTTCGCTCTGAAATGAAATACAAGAAAATTATTTTTGTTGCACCATTAGAAATGAAACATATTGATCACATTTGCTCAAAATGACACGCGGCACATATGTGAAATAAAATTGTTAGTTTATTATATAAAATTACAATAAAATAAAAATAGTTGAATTAGTACTTACGACATTTTTCACTAATAAAATTTTAAATATTAATTAAATTTTGAAATTAATAACTATTGTTGAAAGTGCACAAATTCAGATTCACTAAAAATCGCTACTGTCAAAAATCTGTCAAAACTAAATTAACCAACTGTCGAAAAAAATAGCTTCTTGAGTGACTAACTTCGCGGATGTTTATCGACCCATCTTTGTTCTGTGCTTTTTTATCTATGGTTCTGTCACTTGTTCATAATTTGTTTTTAAAGCCACTGCTCTAAATAAGTGTTCATATTTTCATATCTATGTTTTTTAGGTATTCACTGGTCATCATTGTTTCATCTGTCATTGATTGCCATCTGTAGGAATTGAAAATGTGTTGCTTGTAATAGGTTATGCTGTATAAAATGTGCAAATGTAGACGAAATATGGATATAAGTAATTTATTTATCAATTTTAAATCTATTTATTTATTATTTTTATTATGTGTGTTAATTCGCGTGTCGAATTGTTTATTTGAAGATCAAGTTGGAAAATTTGATTGGTTAGTACAAATTGACCATTTTTGTTTCTTCAAAATTTCATTAATTAAAAAAATCTGTTTTTAATATAGGAAGCAAAGTTTTACGGGTAAACTCAAATTTAGTGCTATAGAAAGTGTTACTAATTCACGTAAAGTTATTGTAGCTACAGAGGAAAATGTATTAGCTGCTTTACATTATAAGTCAGGTGAGAATCATAATACGGTTGTTAGTAATGTATTGAACGTCTTATCTAAAATTCAGTTCATATAATTTTTTTTCTTTCAATCCTTAATATAAGTATTATAGTACAAGCATTCTTGTTTATATTTTAGGTGGTATAAGCTGGAGAAATGTGTTTGAGGATGGTCCTAGGGGAAATATTTCATTTTTACATGTAGATAAGGAAATAGTAACAATTACTGGTGAAACACCATTTACTATAAGAGGTTGGGATGTAAGAACGGGTATGTAAATTACAATCAATTATAATTTGTATTTTAAATCTATGAAAACTGCATAAATAATATGATGTATTTATTATAATTTATTTATTATATTTTACAACTACAGTTTTGTCTGATGCAAGTGGAAATATAAATTTAAGACTAACTAATACGACCCACATAAATAATAATTATGCAATATTATTTTGCGGTGTCAAACAAAATTAAAATACTTTATAATTATTATTTGATCAGTTTTATAATTATTTGTTATTAGGTTCGGCAATATGGGAATGGTCTATGCAACTAGCAAACATAGACAAGAATGCATTTAAACAATTTTGGTTTGTTAAGAATAATGATCTCTATCATGTATTGTCAGTTATAAATTCACACATAGAACTAACACAGTATGACTTACGCTCTGGTAGTAATAAACAGAAGTCACAGAAGATCCCAGCAAATTGGGTTAATGATAGGTAAAAATGGTGTTGCAAAATGAAGAATTTATCCTGTAATTATAATACAGAAGTATGAAATATTTTATTCTAGATGTGTGCTGTCTGATAGTTATTTTGTGTGTGCAAATGGTGGTGTTATGATAGGAGTGGATCTTCTGAGTAGAGACGCACAAACATTTCAAATTGAAATTGGATCTCAAAATGAGGACAAAATTGAATCTACAAAGGTCTGATTATTTAAGTCAAATTTTTGAAAATTTTATTATTATAAAACTAAAATATAATTTTATAGTTAACTCAACTCTCATTTTGTTTCAGGGTAATTTACCAAATATTATTGTTAATAATAAACTATACAAGATCCGAAATAATGCTTTTGTACAAACACCAATTACATATCAAATCGGTGATTCTATGGTGTCATTAATCATTAATGGTGAAGAAATCATTTTGAAGTCATTCATTGATAAATCAAAGGTTATTCTAAGTACATACTTATTTTGTTAATAATTATTAGCCATTAACCTCATAATTAATTTTAAGATACTGCATTTAGTTGGAAACACTGAAAGTGAGCAAGTGACTATTGGTCAATCAATTCCATATCCACAAAACTTTTCAACTCCCAAAATTGCTGATGTTTTTTGTTTGCAAAAGGGCCAGAAATTTTTGTGTAGTACTTTATATCATACAGATGACAATGTTGTGTTTCTTAAAACACCTGGTAATATTTATTAAAGTATTAATGAAAGAACACAAGTTCATGTTCAATTATGATGTGATCATAAATATATATTGTTATTTTATAGAAAAAATTTCTTGGTATCGTGAAGAATCATTATCAGATGTGACAGCTGTTAGAATGATGGATCTTCCGTTAACTGAAGATAGCTTGCAGGATGCTGTTCAAAAAGCTAGTATGTAATCAATATTTTTATTATATTTTATAAATTTTCTGATAAACGTTTATAATGATTTTATTTTTACAGGCGATTCATTGGAAATGTTTAGAAAAAGACTGTTACTTCAGGTTGTCCATTTTAAACATTTTCTTATATCTTTATTTGGTGCAGATTCTTCAAAATTACAGAGAGAAAACTTAGTACGAGATTCCTTTGGTTTACATAAAATTATTATTATTGTTACAAGTGTGGGCAAGGTGTGTTTCAAATTATATTATAATACTACCAATTTTTTTTATTTAATGTATTGCGAATTATTTGTTTCAGGTATTTGGTATAGACAATATTGATGCTACAATTCATTGGTCACGATATATTCCAGCGTTAGCCAAAAAACGGGACGATTTTCATATAGAATTAATTGAACAAAGAACAACTAAATATTCTCCTCATGAAGCACAGTGTGCCATTATAGGAAATAATCAAGTATTCATAATAGACTGTAATCTATGCAGACAACTTGTTTGTTGTCTGCTAAGATTCCACTCAGGTTATGATTATTTTTACTTTGTTTTTAGATTAACAGAAATGGATTTATTTTTCAATTCAATCCTATTAATGGGCAAGATATTGGAAATGGATTCATAAATCTGCCTTATGTAATTAGGCAATATACATTACTTGCTGAAAATGAAGATTTTCTCAAACCATTGCTTATATTAGATGATAATAATTTGCCTCATGTACATCCTGAGAAGGATAAAAAATTAGCTGTTGGCACATACATGTATACAATTAGTAAACAATCTGGTGTTGCTAATGGATTTATTATGGAAATCCAGAAGGTATTTACTTAAATTATGATTTTTGTATGCTTTGCAAAGTTGTCAATATTCTGTTATGATAAAACTTTATGCTCTTTTACTTTTTAGGACCTTTTAGTTGCTTTGCCTGTATGGTCTCTACAACTAACAATGCCAGATCATATTGTGTCACATATTGCTTCAAAAAATTTGATTGAGCGTGTTAACTCTCAAGGAAGAGTTTTAGCAGATCGTTCAGTACTTTATAAGTATCTCAATCCTAATTTGGTGGCTGTTGTGACACAAGGACCAGATCCTATGCATAAAAGTAAATTTATCTAAATCTATAAAAATAACATAGTAGTTTAAATTTTGAAAGTCATAATTCATATTATAATTGCATTAAAGGGATATTCTGATCTAGAATTTAAAAAAAGGCAATTTTTTTGAGACACCCCACAAATCACTTTTGAGAATTAAAACTTTGACTTTTTTTAAAACATCAATTAATAACTAAATTGCATTAAATTCATGTCTCTAGACCAGAGTACCCCTTCAAATGTAATCAAGCTCTAATTATCTACAACCTTCAAAGTTTAAAAATCCAATAATGTTCTAATAATTTTGTTTTAATTTTTTACAGGTGTCATGAATGTTATACTATTAGATGTAGTTTCTGGTAAAATCATATCATCCACATCTCACATTCGTGCTAAGGAGCCTATTCATATAGTACATTCTGAAAATTGGCTAGTGTATTCGTATTTCAATGAGAAAAGTAGACGAACAGAAATTGGTTAGCATCCTAAAATTTTATTATATGGATATATTGATAATGGTTAACATTATCTATAATATTGATATTAACATTTCTATATTTTTTTAATTATTTATATTTTTATCAGGTACTATGGAAATGTATGAGGGAAAATCCCAACCCAATACAACGATATGGAGTTCTTATAAATCAGCACAGCCAATGGTCGAGAAACAGACTTACATATTTCCAGGGCAAGTTGAAGCACTGCGAGAAACAATCACTATAAGAGGAATCACTGCTAAACACGTATTAAGTAAATAATATTGAAATAAAAAAAATTTTGACTTTTTGTATTATTTAAATATAATAAATTCTGTAAATATTACAGTTGGTACCAGCTTCGGTAGCATTTTAGAAATGCCTTGGATATTTTTGGATCCTCGACGTCCTGTCACAATCACAGGTGAAGCTAGAGATGAAGGTGTTCTGCCATATATGCCTGAATTACCAATGCCAAGTGAAGGCATTGTTAATTACAACAAATCAATAGAAAAAATTAAAGACATTGTAGCTGTACCCAGCGGGTTAGAGTCTACCTGTTTAGTTTTGGTTCATGGTTTAGGTAAGATATTTTCTGTAGATGTTTATAATTCATGAGAAAATACAGTGGTACTCTGATGAGTTTAATTCGTTCCATAACCACGCTCGTATGTCAAATTGCTTGTATCTCGATGCAATTTTTTCCATATAAATACTTAGAAGTGCGATTAATTCGCTGTAGTACTAATAGTTTTTGATAAGTTTTTTGAATATAAAAAATCAATTTTATTGTAGTTTTTAAACTTCAAAATAATCCTCGATATGTTCGCGTCGGTAAATCGTTACTACAAAATTAATAGTAATATATAATTGAAATGATGAGAAATATTTCTAAAATTCATTGCCTGACAGTATTGGCGTACTTTATCCATTGCACGAATTGCAATCTTTGAATGAGCAGAGTAGTTAATACTAAAACAACAACAAATTATGCTCGGGCTCTTGCTGCTTCTATGTATCGTTTTCGTGCAACTCTACTTCTTGAAACAACCTGTTGCAGGCTGTAATATTAACACATTTTATTTACTAATAAATTTTTAATAATACTTATAATAATAAAACAGTCAAATATTTCTATGGTAGGAAAATCGTTGTTTCAACTTACGAATTTTTTCTAGAAAGCTAACCCGCTTTAAGTCTGTATGTCAAAGCAACGAATTGCTTTTTTGGCGATTTGTATCTCAAAACACTTAGATGTCGTTGGGGTACTACTGTAATTTTAATAATTTCTTTAGATAGAATATTTGTAGGGGCTTCAGCATTAGAAATCTTTCTCAATAAACTAAACAATATTTTTTATCTTATAGATATGTTTTATACAAGAGTTGCCCCATCACAAACATTTGATCTTCTTAAAGAAGATTTCGATTACTGGATGATAATGATAGTATTGAGTGTATTGACAGTCACTGTTTTCACGAGCAAACATTTGGCAAACCGTAGGGCCTTACGGCAAGCGTGGCATTGATTAATAAGTAATTAGTGGATTGTTAATAGTTATAATGTAATTTGTACTGATCACACTCACCAGTAAGTCATTGTGTTAGACTGATTTAAAATTCATTACTGATCAATAGAACCACAATTTTAAAATATCTGTCAAAAAGTTAAATTATTAATAATGGCTGTACATTTATTACAAATGTGCAGTTTTGGTATAAGTGTAAATAAAAAAACTTTGATATGTGCATAATTTATTGAAAAACTTCATTTTTAAAATACATTTTTCAACAAGCATAATATATTATTTATTGGAACATTTTCATAAAAATTTCTTTTTCATATTCACGATATTTTCTCTGTATAAGTAAAGCTTTTTCATATTCTTGCGAAATTGATTTATTATTAGGAAATAAAGTTAGAGCTCTTTTAAGGTCTTCTAACCCACTATCATAATTTTTTAACCCGATTTGTGCTTGTCCTCTTCTGTAAAATGCTTTACAATTATTTGGATCTCGCTTTAAGGCCTGTGGTGATTGTTATGATTGATAAGAAATCAACATATTTGCAACAAAATGATTTCTATAAAAATGTTATTACCTCATTACATAGATTATTTGCTTCTTTAAAGTCACCAAGTTTTATATACACAGCCGCACCATTCAGTAAACATAGAAGATAAACATGATTAAACTTCTCTTTGTCAAATTCGCATTTCAAATCAGTCGCAGCGAGCATGTATTCTATATACCGCCGAGCTTTTTTGTACTTGCGAGCAGAATGTATGAAATCATTTTGAGAATACAGCATATTACCAGCTAATTTAATGTTAGCAATCTTATTCTCCAAAACTTCTTTCTAAAACATCAATCAGAATTTCATACTTGTAAGTAAATATGTATAAAAGAAATATGGACAAAATGACACAGTAGCTTATTTAAAATTTTTACGCTAGTTATAAAACATGAGAAAAGCCATAATTACAATCCTCACAAATTTTGAGCAACGTTGTCACAGTCTTGTCGTAGTAACCAGTTCAAACGTATATCGCGCCTTTAAAAGATTATTTTGGGACTTATTCATTGTCATATGTCTATTAATTCTAGTAATATGTCTTATTAATCTAATATGTCTATTAATTTGTATTTATTTTAACGACCTTATGCAGGTACTAGTGAATTCAATCAATTTTATTGCAATTATCAGGTGTTTGATGGAATTTCAATTAATTGTTAACTTCCTGTAGGGTAAGTTATAATAATAGCAAAAAAATCGAAAATGGAAATTTTCGCATATGTTCACGTTTAAAAGGTTTCTGAACATTTTGGAATACCTTAAAAAAATTGATGTGTGTGTGTATGTGTGCGGATACAAATTTTCGTCGACGATTTCGGGAACACGATTCAACCGACTTCAACTTTTCAAGGAGACGTGCTGATTAGTTTTTGGCAAAGGCAGGTCTAGCCGTTTCGAAGATACGGGGCAAAAAGTGCCAAAAACGGTAACTCAGTTTTTAAGAGAACTGACTATGATATTGCGATTTTAATAATTCAAAAAACATTTTACTTGTATTGACAAGATGAAGAACTGATTAAATTTTTGGGAAGACAGGTCTAGCGGTTTCGGAGATCTAGTGAATAAAAATAAAAAAAAATCGGCGGTTAAAAATGATCATTAGACATATGCACATCAAATTATCAGATTTTTAATGGAGGTTTTAATAATGTGTCAATTTTCTTTACATACCGTAATTCCGTTAAACACGATTACAGACATGATGTCCCAAAAGAACGATTTATTCGTGAAGACAGTAAATGTTAGTATCCTAGTATATCCTTACCCTGTACGCCATTTTTTTTGTACCACACAGACAAAATGGTTTTTGTAACTAGTTGCATTTTTTCTTAATAAATATGTTACTATGGTTCCTACTTAATTAAAAGATTATGTTACTGTTAATCTATGAATCTAAGATGAGTAAAAACGATTGAGATTGTTTTCAAATATCATGAATATTAACATGTGTAAATATAAACAAGATATACCTTCGTTATTTCATCGTAATCCCAGTCATCTGGCCATGGTGGGAGACTATCATTAGTTATGTCATTATCTTCAAAGCCCCATCTTTCGCCTTGAGCTATTTCCCCACAATCATCAATTATACAAGTCTAATATAATATGAAAACAAAGTTGTACAATAATTTAAAAATACGAATATAAAAAATGAGGTGTCACTAAGTACTTTAATAGGTTTTCCATTTGCATCAGTCTCAAGTTTCTCAATTTCTTTAACAATACCTAGGCCTCGTAACACCCTACCAAAAACAACATTTGTGCCATCTAAATGAGAACTAACAACAGTCGTTATAATGAATTGAGAGTTATTGGAGTTAGGACCAGCATTTGCCATTGACAGTACACCCTCCACATGCTAGAAACAAGAGCACTATTTCAAAACATATTTTGTTTTTTTTATGAATCCACAATCATGTAGCATGTATTTTAATCACTTACGGATAATTCAAAATTCTCATCATCGAATGTCAGACCATATATACTTTCTCCATTTGTGCCATCATTATTTACAAAATCCCCAGTTTGAATCATAAATATATTAACTACTTTATGTATGATACAGCCTTTATAATGCAAAGGTTTTCCTAATGAACCGATGCCTTTTTCTCCTGTGCATAAGGCTCGAAAATTTTCAACAGTGATTGGTACGACATTTTTAAAAAGCTCAACAACTATGCGCCCAACTGAAATATTATTCATTAATTTAGTGATGCAGGGAATTATTCTTAATTTTTTTGATTAACAAAAATTGAGCAAGAGTGCTGATTGTAAAGGATATATTAATAAGATAAATAATTTTTAATGAAGAAAAGAAAGATAAATTTGAATCTAAGCAGTCAATTTAAGAATATAGAATAAAACATTCCCAAGATCAAAACAATTAGAACTCAAATAAATTAGAAGTAGATATTTCTTCCTTAAATGATTATTTTTAATATTATATATTTAATTTTATTTTAAAACAACTATATTTTCATTTTAATTTGATATAACTGTCAGTAAAAAAAATTGTGACACTTGTTCAATTGCTGCATTGTGAATTTTGAAAGAATTGTTTAAATAATTTACACCTATAAAGATTGATTTTATTTTTTTTATAAATATTACAATTAGATTGATATTAATAACACGTTAGTTAAGCAAAATCAGAAAACAGAATGCTGATGAAAACCTGAATCTATAAAAGTAGAAAATTGGATCACCTTGATATTTATGATATTGCGCAAGTTATAAAAAAAGGTTTAATATTTTGACAAATATGATAATGGGCTAAATACATAATATAATAACATTATATATGTAAATGTTTACCCCTTTCAGACTCAATTTTTATATCTAGAAAACAAATTGGATTTCCTTCCCGGGGATACAGTTTCATGTCAAATTTACGATATTTGTAACTTTGTATGAGACATGTGTAACAAAAAAAATATGCATTAATATAGTAGTTTTTATAAAATTGATTGAAAACATAAAATGCAGCGTAAATAGTAAATTAACTTGATTAATTAAATCACAACATATTTAAGATTAAGATATTGATGTACTGTCAAAAACATGCCAACTGTCAAATGGGCACTTATGCAGTTTGATCACTTACGCTAATAGATGGGTCTGAAATCACAAAAAATGAAAACATTTCAAACAGCGTAAATAAAGGCACATCCTCACCTAGTGAACGAACATGACGAACAAGAAAATACAAAGAAGAACAAACACGAACACGAACGAAGGCGAACGAAGGCGAATCATTCCAAACGAACTTGAACAAACGCCTCAAAGCAGTGAAGGCTTGATAGTCTTTGTTCGAGAATTTTCCGTAAAACGTCAGTATTATTATTCAAAGTGGAGGGAAAAAAAAATATTGAAAGTGATCTAATTTACAAAATTCATCAATAATAGCTATATCACATAAGAGTCACAACATAAACTAATGCAGAACTGCACATATTAACATAAAAAACATGTTTGTTTACATTCGTAGTAGAGTCTACACTGCACATACGAGTTCAAACATGAACGAACAATTTTCTTTGATGTACCGACAAATTGCGGAACATTGCTCGCTATGTTTGTTTGTGTTCGTTGTGGCGCCGCACCATGCTCGTTGCCGTTCGTTCTGGTACGTACATTCTTGCTTGATCAATTATTCAAACTTCAAATTTTACATTATATTATTTATTCATTTAAGTTCATTTGAGTTTGTTTATTTTATCATTTGACTGATCAATTGAATTTCGTGCCAAAATAAAAGATGAAATTGTTGTTAAAGTTCTTTATTTGCACTGTGAAGCTGTATTAAACAGTATTAACAGTATTAAACTTAAATGTTAAGGTAGTTGCATTGACTCAGTATCTGTGTAGTGTGTATCTGTGTATATTATTAACATGCTTTGGTAAGGTTAGTATATGTGTTATTGAATATGCTTGAATATATTTCTCAATATTAAAACAATATTCAAATATTTTATTCACTTAAAATTATTGATGGAAGATACATAATATCTATGAGGAATTTAAATAGAATAAATATATTTTGCATAACCTATTAACATCTCAAAACTTATTGAGAATCTAATTATAATTTTTTTTTTCAAATTCTCATTTTTTGAATTTTATATTCAATATGTGTTATATCAGGAATTAGGTTGGATAAAGGCACATATATATTCTAACTTCCCGCAAAGGCTTTTTGTTTTGTTTGCATCATTTGTACAATTTGAGATACAAAAATGAATATGGAATCGAACCATTGAATAAATACATAGAAAAAAGTAATAAAATCATAACAATCCACTTTTGTTGTGAAATAAATTAAGACAATGGAAATCTTGACAAACTAGGGATTAATATACAAGATCCCAGATTAAATTTGCTTATTATTTTATTTACGTAAAATAACTTATCTTAAAATATGTGCTTGGCAGTATTTGAAATATTAATTACAATTATAAAATATCAATTAAAAAACATTCAGGCACATGAATATAGGTTCTAATAAAATATATAATAAATTTTAACACATTATTTTAATTTTAAAATGTGATAAAGCTTTGATTATAGTTCTTTTGGTACACTAATGTACAAACCCTAGAATTGATCAAAAAAATGAGTGATTCATTAAACCACTAAATTTTTGGTTATTATCCTTAAGATATTGTTAGTAATCTCACTTTTTAGGGGTATTTTCATGTGCTCTGCGTAATCGTCTTCTGAACTCTTGAGGAAATTTGTCATAGCATCGTTTGCAAACTGGCTTCTCATCACATTCATAAAATTTACTTTTTTGATTCATCTTTGTATCACACACTGAGCAGGCGAAATGATGAACGCACCATGCTTTATTTAATGCAGTAAATACTATTGATAAAAATAAAATTGATTAATTACCTATTTCAGTTAATTATATATCTAAAAGAACAACCAGCTTACCATCACCAGCAATGACTTGATTACAGACGAAACATAGATTTCCAAAAAGTTGGTGATAGTGTGTTTCACAATATGCAAGTCCCTTTTTCTCATAATGCCTGTGACCCAAGAATGGCTTTTCACATTTTGCACATACGAAATGCTATGAATAAGAATTTTAATTAATGTTTTTGAATTATTATATAAAATTCTTTGTACTTTCTATGTTGTTACCTCAACATGCCAATGTTTTCCTAAAGCAGTTACCACCCTTTCTTCAATTGGTCGTCTACAGGCACCGCAAATTGGTATTCCCATTTTGTCATGACAACGTAGACAATACAGCTCATTCTATAATTTGAATGAGAAATAAGTTTAAGTTTAACCAACCTACTATACAAATTTTATTTTCATAATTTAGAAAAATAATGAAATAGTATAATGCTTATTTAATTTCTACTTACCATATCATTAGCAGCAAAACCAGGTCGGCTCCTGACTTCTCTTGCACTACTATCGAGTTCAATACCACAAGCAGTGCAGTTAAAATGATATCCATGGTATACCTCACCTCTGAATCTCAACGGAGCATCATCAATCAATCCATGGCATTTATGGCACACATGTTTTCCTAAACATCTTGCTTTATCTTTAGCATTGCATTCATGACATAAAGCACGTCCTTGGTTTCTTATGAATCCAGTATCTGCCAGTTCCTTTTGACAATGTTGGCATCGGAAGCAATGAGGATGCCAGTTTGCTGCCATAGCTTTAATAACTCGCCCAATCACAAATTCACCTAGGAAACGAAAAAAATAGCTTCAAGTTAAACAAGTATCTATAGATAAAATCTAGTTCATTTTTATTTCATTATGTTGATTTTGAATCAATCTCATAAATGTTATGCACATCCTCATGTCAATTTATTATAATATTTTTATACATACCACATTTATTGCAACAAGGGGCAAAAAGAACCTGAAAATCGTGTTCACAGTATTTGCGTCCTTCAAATTCATAAAAGACACCATCTGCAAATACTCGGAAGCATTGGGCACATCTGAAATTCAAGGAATTGTAAAATTTAGGAACAATATTTAAGAGTGATAATATATCACAGACTTACACAAAACATTTTCCGTGCCATAATTCCCCATTGGAATTGACAATCTTTTCATTTGGTTCAAAACCATCACCACAGCGAGAACAAAACATGTTGCCCAAGAGTGCTGCTCCTTCCAATCTGAATAAACCAAACCAGTAATATATATATATATATATATATATATATATATATATATATATATATACATAGAATTTTGTGATATGAGTGGAACAAATATTAAATGTTAAATATGAACAATACAACACTCAAATTTTTAACACACACTTTATTTGGTAATTACAGACGTTTCGAGACCATGGTATGCCTCTTCTTCAGTGTAATTTCAAAACAGTTACTTATATACTACACATTCTTTAATATTTTATTTAAATTACATTTAATTTTAAACTTACAAAAAATTTTTAAACAAATTTAAAATTACAAAGATATTTTAAACAAATCTTAAGTATCGAGATGAAGAGACAGGATGAGTATTATTATAATAATAATAATAATAATACATCATCTCGATACTTAAGATTTGTTTAAAATATTTTTGTATGTTCCACATGTTTTAGTACTGTGTCGAGCTCTGCAAGTGATAGTTGGTGTTTTTTATATTTACAAAAATTAAATGTAATTTAAATAAAATATTAAAGAATGTGTAGTATATAAGTAACTGTTTTGAAATTACACTAAAGATGAGGAATACCATGGTTTCGAAACGTCTGTAATTACCAAATAAAGTGTATGTTAAAAATCTAAGTGTTGTATTGTTCATATTTAACATTTAATATATATATATATATATATATATATATATATTATAATGTATATTGGATTTAGCTTTTTGCTGCACAAATTTCAATTTTCAATGAAATACTTCACCTTCTTTAAGCACAAGTTTAACATTTTTTTGAATATAAGCGAAATATTCTTCAAATCTCATTCTATAACATATAAAGATATCAATAATAGCAATGAGGATAGATTTGCTTAATTCAGAAGTATCAATTTTATTTATTGAACATAAATATAATTTTAACAACTTTCAATGACAAATTACTAGCATATAAATCAAGGACGTGCATCTTATCGTCATATTGTAAGAAGAGTTTAAAAAAAACTCTATATAACAAACTGATTTAAAACAAATAGTTTTATATTAAAAAGTTTACCAAAATAATCATATAATTAGTAAAGTTTTATAGTTGTTTCTGCGCCACATCTTACTAAAAGGTCACATGCAAAAAATGATAAAAACAGATAGAGTAGGAAGTTGTGAGAACTTTAAAGTTCAAAAATTTAATTTACATATAATTTTTAATCTGATTTTATCTGGAGACTTCGATAATATAAATGTCTTATAAAAATATTTATTTTAGATATAACAGACTCGTTCAATCTTACCCAGGCATTTTGTTTAAATATTTAAACTTATACGCGAGTTATAGAAACTGTCAAATGGTTTTTATAATAAAGCAATAGCTCACAATATTAAAAAAAATCACAACATTAACAATGTCTCATAACCCGCCCGAACTAAATGAAAACACCTTATGACATCATACCTATACTGGCCAATGAATGAATGTTGTCTTCTGTTTGCCCATATTGGGAAAACGGAATAATGGGAGTAAATATTTTTTATTTACATTTTTAACCAATGCAATATTCTGAAAACGCTTTTTTATTTCTAAATTAAATATAATAGAGAGTTCAGAGTAAATAAATCTCTATTTAATGTTGTGTCATTTAGGTTCCAAACCGAGAGCTTTCAAGTCTTATCGTTAGATAGAGATGGGTATTTCGTGTATCGTCATGAAATATAGAGTTGGTGTGGGTGCTTTGGAGCTTTCGTCTTGTAAAGTAGATCGTCAACGAACTAGTGCCTTAAGGCAAATTGCTGGAACTTCCCGTACCAAAAATTATTTTTTTCAAAAGATTAACATTTTTGAAAAAAAAATACTCTGAAAAAAATAGATTTTTGAGAAACTATAAATTTTTGACAAAAATTTACTTTTTTTTGAAAAAAAAGATATTTTGAAGAAAAATTTATTTTGAAATATTTTAGAAATTCTGAACTTTTTTTCAAAGCAATCGTGCTGCTTTAACTGCATAGAGACGAAGAATCGAAGCGGGTAAGCGCCGCGTCGCCGTCCAACGGACAAAATTTATACTTATTGTTAAAATATCTATAAAATATCCGATAATTTGATATGCATATGTCTAATGATCATTTTTGACCGCCAAATGGCTTTTTTTTTACTTTTTTTTACTAGATCTCCGAAACCGCTAGACCTGCCTTCATGAAAATTTGATCAGTTCTTCATCTTGTTAATACAAGTAAAATGTTTCTTCAATTATTCAAATCGGACGCTCCGTTCTCTTAAAAACTGAGTTACCGTTTTTGGCACTTTTTGCCCCATATCTTCAGAACGGCTAGACCTGCCTTCGCCAAAAACTAATCAGCACGTCTCCTTATCAATACGAATCGAATGTTATTTTAAATATTCAAATCGCTTCATCCGTGTTCCCGAAATCGTCGACGAAAATTTGTATCCGCACACACACACATACACGCACATACACACACTCACACTTACACACACACATACATCCATTTTTTCTAAAGTATGCCAAAATGTTCAGAAACCTTTGAAACGTAAAGATATATAAAAATTTTCATTTACAATTTTTTTGCGATTAATATAACTTGCCCTACCGGAAGTTAAAAAGTGCTAAAAGAGGCTTTCATAAGTCATACCACTTAACTCAAGGGGGTATTCTAGTATAGAAATCCCAATTTTGTTTTTGTTTTTAACTTCCCGAAGGAGAAGTTTGTTTTCATAAAAAAATTGATTCGCTAATTTTATGTTTTCTCAACGTTTCAAGCCATTCTGAATCGAATGAGACCAAATTTGAAAAAAGTATGTGTGTTTATGTGAACAGATTTTTTACCGTAAATCGACGTTTTCTCAAAAACGGCTGGACCGATTTTAAAAGTTTAAAAGCCATTTGATAATGTGAAAACGATATATTTCACATCACTCAATAAATCCGTAGGATAACTAAGAAAAACCAATTTATTTGGCAAATTTCTTATTTTTATGCAATATAGTTTCTTCGAAGACGATATAACGATTATAGCGAACTTCAAACTTTTCGAAACCATTTTTTTAGTACGACTTATACTTTTCCACAAAATTCAGCATTTATTTGGTAAAATCATCTCATCATTTGGTAAAAGTTTCTTCACAGCAAGCATTTTTTTGAGGTCGCTGGGGAACAGATCTAGAGAATATGGTAAAAGGGGAAGCAATTCGGAGCCCAATTCATATTTTTCTTCCTTTTATTTTTTGTGACCAAAATTTAAAGTTGGTCATTCAATAGTTTTTCAGATATGCGAGGTTGATGGGTGGCTGGCTCCGCTCTCAATACTGGTATTGAAACAAATTGTACGTTTTCAAAAATGCATAATTTTATTTTGATGAAACTTGGCATACATTGTTACTACACTTTACTAAATATTTGACAAAAATTTAAATTTGGAACATTCAATAGTTTTTTTAGATATGGTGGCTGTCTCCGAGCTCAATACTGGTATTGCAACAGATTGTACGTTTTCAAAAATGCATAATTCGATTTTGATGAAACTTGACATACATTGCTACTACACTTTACTAAATATTTGACAAAAATTTAAAGTTGAAACATTCAATAGTTTTTCAAATATGCGAGGTTGATGGGTGGTTGGCTCCGCGCTCAATACTAACATTTAAACATATGCTATGTTCTTAAAAATGCGAATTGCGATTTTGATGAAACTTGACACACATTGTTACTATACTTTACCAAGATTGTGACCAAAATTTTAGGTTGGAACATTCAATAGTTTCTAATATGCGAGGTTGATTTGTGGCTGGCTCTGCGCTCAATACTAACATTTAAAATTTAAATCATTTCTAAATATGCCGTAAATCCCCACTTTTATTTCGTGGACCCCCAAGTTTTGTTTTTCCCTGCCGTGGACCCCTTGAAAGTTGCCATGGACCCCTGGGGGTTCAAGTGGACCATTTTAGAAATCACATCTAAGATGTGTAGATTCTACACGATTCATCTCTAGTTCTACTGCGCTGATTCATTTGAGATTTTCAGAGAATCCTCTTTATAGACTTCTCTCTAATGATATATACTAGCCCCATTCCCGTTGAAAGATGTTGGTGAATCCCCGGAATAATATAAATATAAAAGTGCTTAATCGAAACAGCGTTAAATAAAGTATAGCATTAAGCGGTATATTACTGTACTTAAGTTATCTCAACGAAACTGTATTTTTAACCATTTGACCATATTTAATGCTGCTGAATATTTTTAAATCAGATTGTTGAAAAAACGTATTTACTTCGATGTGAAAACCACAATTAAATTCTTGAATTATGTACAAATCGCAATTATCTGCACTCATGTAAGAACTCATCTCATAACGATCAAGATTGATAAGTTCTCATCTGCAGCAGCGAATGCTGTTATTGCAACACCTATGATGATCTGGTTTATTTTCCGTTTCCCATACATTTTATATTATATTCAGAATGTACAAATGTTGCAATACCCCTCACTACATACACATCATAACTTCACATGCGAAAATTATTTATATTCTATTATAAATGGAAGTCATTGAAAATACAAAAATACGAATTTTATAGCTTACCACGCAAGTACCTGCTATAACTACTACACTATATACTAATAAATATATAAACCAGATTTCTAATATAAATATCTGTGGTATTTCTACTCAACATTGTATTGCATTGAAGACGCCTACAACCTTAAAATCATGTCCAAACTAGATTTTAGTTGAACGCAAACAGATATTGATTAGTTTTCAGTGAAAGCTAAAACTTTAGCTTTGAAATAAATAGTTGAAAATTTTATCGAAAAAGCTAAATCTTCATTCTTATCGCTTAAAACGATCATTTAGTGAATTCACGTAATTGGGGGTATCTCTCCCTCTTTTCTTGGTGATACTTAAAACCAGTCCCATCTTGTCCAGCGAACATTATGTGTATTTTTAGTACCTAAAACTAGTGGTGCATGGCATCGTGCCTTGAGGCAAATTGCTGAAATTTTTCTTACAAAAATTATTTTTTTTAACAAAGGTTTTTTTTTCAAACTTTAAAAAAATTAGATTTTTGAGAAATTTTAAATTTTTGAAAAAAATTGACTTTTTTGAAAAAAAAAAGTTTTTTCATTATGATAGAGCTTGTGGTCTAGTAGGCAAATATCCTAAAATATTTTCAACATAAAAAAGTGTTTTTATTATAAAAATTCATCAGAGTTTGAAGTAATGGGCAGTGCCATATCTCGAAGTTTTATCTACAATTTTGAAAGTTCATTATATCGAATTCTTATACATATCAGGAAAGTTTTGCAACTTGCTTTAAGGCTAATTCCAAATTACACCTATTTTTCTAAACCCTATTAACGAAAGATAACTAGGCTAGCCTCTGAAAATAAACTTTATACCAATTTATCTTTTAATACATCAAAAACAATATTTTGTACTAACAATCCAGATATGTAATTTCTTGAAAAGCTTATTGTGCGCAAATAATATTTATTGGGCGTTATAAAATTGATAACGGGGCTTCAGAAAAAGATAGTATATATAAGCATATACCTCGAGGTGGATTTCATATCTTGTATTTTGTATTTCATCTCATAGAGCGGAATTATCGTTAAGGCATGTGAATGAAAGTAAGAGCTTCCTAAGACGTAATGGTAAAGCACTTTCCCAGGCGCATGATTTAATTTAAAGGTGAACTGGTCATATGTGGAAGTAGTTCAAGAAGACAACTATCGGATATCTAAGACTGAGAGCATCATGTAGGATGGTTTATTTATTACTAAACCAGATGCCAGGATGCGATGCACATATGAGTGATGCAATATGCTTGCTATACCAATTTCTAAAAAGATGTATGTATAAAATAAGAACGTTATGTTCCTGATTACAGCCAGGAGCGTATTCATTTATTGACATGTTTATTTCTAACGATACGCTTCTAAAACTAGTATCCATTAATCACATGAGGTTTAAAAGGAGGGGTTGACAAAACAAATCAAGAAATATCTCGTGAGAGTTCTATTAAGATATACACATGTATTTTTTGAAATAACGACCGGAATTAAAAAAAAACTCCAAAAAAGAACCGAAAATTTTACGATTTTTAACTTCCCGTAGGGTTATTGTAATCGCAAAAAAATCGAAAATATTTTTTTCTATATATCTATACGTTTGAGCGATTTCTGAACATTTTGGCATACCTTAAAAAAATGGAAGTATCAGTGTGTGTGTGCGGATACAAATTTTTGTCGACGATTTCGGGAACGCAGTTCAACCGATTTCAATTATTCAAAATTCGACTTCTATTGATAAGGAGACATGCTGATTAGTTTTTGGCAAAGGCAAGTCTAGCCGTTTCGAAGATACAGGGCAAAAAGTGCCAAAAACAGTAACTCAATTTTTAAAAGAACGGAGCGTCCGATTTTAATAATTCAAAAA